TCAATTGGGGAATGACTTGTATTCTTATCAATTTGACTTAATTCTCTATATATTTTAGAAAGGAGGCCCTTTTGATTGAGAGTTTCTGCCCAGCATAGGGGGGACTTGCTTTGTAGGCAGGAGAGAAGGAACTTTCAAAAAGGAGGAGAAAGTGAAGGACTTAGAGGTAAGGATAATAGTGGGGGTACTCTGCTAGGGAGTAATCTTCTGATTGAGAGGGGTTGGCCTTGCTGAGAGAAGGGGAATCTCTTTATCAAGAGGAAGTTTATATCAAGGGGCTGTAGAATGAGGAGAAGGGAGTCTATATTGCATAGCTTTAATCAGTTTGGGTTTTTTCAGTAAAGTGTGAGAAGATCTCAGATTGGAGGTGAGGAGAGAAGGCTGCAATAATAGGGTACATATATGTTCACATAACATTAGTGAGCTAAGAAACCATTTTGTACAGAACTATAGGAGGTTGCCTCAGGGAACGTGGCTTTAGAAAATTATTTAAGATTAAAAACTGGATATGGAGGGCCTGGGGATGTTGGTATTTGGGAAAGAATCTATAATGATTACATTCTTCCTATATCATACTATATAATGCTTCCTGTATCATGGAATTTTGAGTTGCTAGCTACAGTTTTTGCTCTGTGTGAATATCCTCCACAGGCTTCCTTGCTGTAATAGCTTTTGATAAGAAATCATTGATTTAAAAAAATCAATGTCAAAATTTTGATTTTTACTAAAATACTCTTCCAAAAGTCAAAATATTCATCTGTTTAGGAAAATTGGTGAGTTTTTGTGTTCATTTTAGCTGAATACTACAGGAGGATAAAACTTTTTTTTTTTTTTTTGTAAAATGTTTCAGTATAGTACAGATTCTCAATTTTATTTTCCATAAAAATGATTTTAATAGAAATGGCAGCTTTGAACTAAAATGCCTTTTTCTGTTTTATATCAAGCTAAATATAAATACCATTGTGACAATGCGTTTATGCTGCTAAGTTAGAAAAAGCAATTATTTATAAATTCCTTTGCTGTGCTTTGTATTATGTATTTTTTAAAATGTTCTAAATAAGGCATTTTTAAGTGGTCGTGATTCAAGTACCATTCTGTCTGCTTGAGACTGAGTGTTTTAGCAGCTGTCCATGTACAAATCATTCGATGTTTTTTGCTGTTAGATATCTTTTTTTTTAAGCCAGGAACTCCATTAAAATACTTTTTCCTACTCCATCAGGGTAGAATCTTAAACTGAAATAACTCATATATACGCTATTGTGTGTTTCTATGAAAGAAAACAGGAACAAACATATAAGTTTGGTGAGTGGGGAGCATTTGCAGATCTTTTCCCTTCCTCCCCATTCAGCTTTTTCCATTCCTCCTCCTCTAATTTTTTTTTTCTCTAAACCCCTGACTCCTGGTAGTAGGGCTAGACTAGAAAGGAGTTAGGACAGGGCAAGTCTCTGGGAATTTCCATAAGACACAAGGCAAACATTAAGAATTTTTAAATTATCTCTGCATCTGCTCCCCCAAACAGAGCTGAGTGAATTGATTTTTAAGAAATAGCCCCAGTAGGGTTAGTTCAGTTGGTAGGAAGAGAACTGGAATGATATGAGTATTAGATAAGTCTGCTTTGCTTCACATCCTTAAAGAAATAAATGTTTGTTCTATGAGCAGCAACACCATATGTGTGATCTGAAGATTAGTAGTTGTGCCATTACTGTTGAAACCATTAGAATACATCATTGAGTTCCAAAGAGTAGCACTGGTATCACATTATACTAAGTGCACTCAAAGACATAGATTGCTAATATCACAGGAACAACATTGTTCAGTATAGAAGAATCAGATTTCCAACCAAATATTCTGGCATATAGTATAACATAATTATGTAAGTTGCAGGAAATGTAGGCTGTGGATTTTTTTGGATTGTACTTCCACTTCTTAGGATCATAGATCATAGATCTGGAGCTAAATGGGACCTTAGCACATGGAGTCTAACTCTTGCAATTTCCCTCACTTTCCCAAGGTCCTGCAGGTAGGCTGGGGAATTCAGGTGTTTGTTGTTTTGTTTTGCTTTTGTTTTTAAATAAGTTGTAATATCATCACATACTTTCTCTTTTATTTTTCCTTTTCATTTTTTACAACATCTAGGGATGTTAGGGCTTTCTGTTTTGAGGGAGGTTGTGGCTTTTCAATCAAAGCAGAATTTCAGAAAGGAAACAATTGTTGTTCTGTATTTTTTACACAGGATAATACATCTCTTAAATCCTTCCCAGCTCTGATTATATCATTCTTCGAATATGTGATGAAGAAATAACATTTCAAAGTAGAGGCAATCATCTATCCAGTGAAACATGTCATGTTGTTTAGGGAATTCAAAATTGACTGTCAGTTTGAGGGGTATTGTTAAGGGGCATGAGGGAAAAAAAGCTTATTTCTCAGGAAGAAAGGAAAAGCAAATGAAAATTTAGGGTCATTAAGAGAGAAGTAAAGGCAGACTTCCAGGACCAGCAAGGTACATTTGTTCTGTTGTGTGTTGCCTTTTGGCATTGCTTTTAAGGAATGATAATACTAAGCTGGAGAGCATTTTCGAAGAGGACAACTAGGATAGTGAAGGGCCTTGGGGATCATTCCACAGGAAGATTACTTGAAGGACCTGAGAATGTTAAGCCTGGAGAAGAGAAAGCTGAACATGATAGCTCTAAGTATTTGAAGGACTATCCATATGGAAGTGAGATTAGATTATTCTGCTAGGTCCCACCTTTGGGAGACTAGAAACAATATTTGTGGGGTTTTTGTTTTTGTTTTTTTTCCCTTAAGGCAGATTTAGGTTTGATATAAAGGGAAAACTTGTTGTCCAAAAGTAGCATGATCTGTCTCAGGCGGTAAGTTAGTTCCCTTTCACAGAAAGGCTTCAAGCAAAGCCTGAATACTTGTCAGGCAGGTTTTTTGTAGAGGAGTTTTATGGTAAGATATAGGTTGAACTCTGAGGTCCTTTCCAAATCTGAAATTTTGTGTTTTTGTGAATGGCACATTATAAGAGGTGGTCTGCCAAGCCAGAATAACATAGAACCTATTTCTATTTCCATTTCAGCGTTTAGAATATAAGTTGGGTATAACAAATGGATCTCTGTCCTTTAGGTCATAGTAACCATATTTTGTTCTCTTTAAACAGCTACAGAAAGACCTGGAAGAAGTGAAGGAGTTGCTGGGAAAGGCCACTAGGAAAAGAGTCCGTGATGTCCTAACAGCAGAAAAGTCCAAGTTAGAGACAGAAATCAAGCACAAGACAAAGCAGAATGGACAGGAGAAAGGAGAAACTATTGATAATGAGAAACCAGCGGCTGTGGTTGCCCCCATTTCAGTTGGGTACACAGTGAAAATCAACAATTATGGTATGGTTGCTTCTCCCACATCCAGCTTTGTTTTGCTTCTTTATGAACTCACCAACACATGAATTTTTTTTTTGTTGTTGTTCTCACTGTCGTTGTAAATGATAGGAAGAGGTAAGAGGGTACCACAGTTCTTGTTTAATCTGAGGAATTCTGTTTTTCAGTGCTGTAGGTGAAAAACAAGGCTGCATCCCAAAAGGCCTATGCAAGAGAACTAGATTGTTTAAATTAAGGGCAAGTGAGAGAAGGAGAGGGGCAATGATGAGAAGGGTTCAGGATCCAGTGTATCCTAAGTAATACTTTCTAGTCTTTCTTTGCTAAACCAACCATAAACATTATCTGAGACAAAGAATCCATCTTTACAGCAGAATCGTTGATTTTTACTGTTGGAAGGGACATGAAAACTGAGGCTCAGAGGGTTGAAATGCCATCGGAGCATGCTTTAGTTGAAAGAACTGAGGCTGGAGGAAGTGTTGCATCTGCAAATATTTGAAGACTTGTCATGTGGAAAAGGGTCTATTTGGCTTTAGAGGGCAGATCTAGAAATAGGTAGAGATCAATTTTGGCTCATTTTAAGGAAAACTTCTAAGAATTTAGAAAGTTGGGGCAGCTAGGTGGTGTAGTGGATATAGAGCTTTGGCCTGAGTCAGGAGGACGTGAGTTCAAATTCAGTCTCAGACACATGACACTTACTAGCTGTGTGATCCTGGGCAACTCACTTAATCCCAATTGCCTCACCAAAAAAATAAAAGAAAAGAATTTAGAAAGCTGTTTTTTTTTTTTTTGAGTGAGGCAGTTGGGGTTGTGACTTGCCCAAGGTCACACAACTAGTATGTGTTAAGTGTTTGGTCTGAGGCCAGATTTGAACTCGGGTCCTTCTGACCCGGGCCAGTGCTCTATCCACTGTGCTACCTAGCTGCCCCGAAAGCTGTTTTTAAAAGAGTACAATGGACTACATTAGGAAGTAGTGAATTAGTTCCCTGTTGTATATTTAGGTTATTGGACTAAATGACCTGAGATTTCCAATTTTTTAATTCTGTGATTCCATTGAAGTGATTTGCTTAACATCACATAGCTAATTAAGTTTGGTCGATAACAGGTTCTTATCCTGGAATCTGTTAACTCTTTTTATAAAAAAGAAATATTTTGATGTGTTTCAATATAATTGGATTTCTTTGTAATCCTATGTATCTTATTTTATGCATTTAAAAACTTTATTCTGAGGTGTCCATGGGCTTCACCAGACTGACAAAGGGGTCCATTTCGCAAAAAAGGTTAAGGAAGCTTGGACTCCATTCCTAGTTCCTGATTTCCAGTTGAGTGTTCTTTCTACCTTCCTGCATTATTCTTATTTAAAATTTGGCTCAACATCTTTGTTACAAGTCTTCCCTGGTCAATATTCATTTACATAACATCAACATTTCTACTCCATCCTGATAACTAAACCATGCCTTTTATATGTAGTTTATGTACATGTTAATGTTGATTGAGGATTCATTAGATTTTAAGCGGGTTGGGAAAAGAATACAAGCTTTTGTTAAAAAATGTATCCATGGTCAGTCAGTCAGCCAGCAAGCATTTGTAAAGTACCTACTGTTGTGCCAGGCCCTATGCTGAGCACTAGGGATGCAAAGAAAGGCAAAAGACAGTATGCGCTCTGTGGGGCATATAATAAACATTTGTTGGTACCTGAATAAATATGATTTTAAGAACCTGAAGCAGAATACTGATGTCTTAGCAGATTGGGAGACTGAGTGATGTAGCAGCAGACCTCCCTGGATTGGGTCCAGTGCACCTCAGCTCAGAGCTCAGCTCTGCTTATTAGTGTGCATAATTTCACTTTTTTTGTCCTCACTTTCCTTATCTACAACATCTCTAAGGTCCCTGCCTAAACCCCGTAGTCACTGGATAGAAGGCACAAAACTTGGGTTCAAGTCCTGATTGTTCTTTGTGCCATTGGGTCTGAACTTCTGAGTCTCTTGTCTTGAGTGTGTTTGTGAACACACCTTGAAAGCTGTAGAAATACTACGATTATGAGGTAATTTAATTTAATGCATGAAGAACTGGACATTTAAAATAGCATAAAGAAGTAGAAAAATTCTATGAAAGCAAAATTTTTTTTTAAATGCAAGTGGTGGAGCTGAGTAAACCACCGGAGTAAGAGTAGAAGAGAAGGTACATGACAAGAATGTATTTGGCTTTCACATTTTCAGAAAGACTGTGAGATCTTTTCTAGTCCTGTGCTACTGAACTCTAGGCCTTGCTTTTGTGATTGATGGGCTTATATTGTGGAGCCAGCACAGCAATGTGGGATATATACTCAGAAGAATTAAGTTCGAATCGTAGCACTTCTATACTAGATAAAATCACTTAAGTTCTCCAAGCCTGAGTTTTCCCATCTGTAAATACGTGGAGGATTGTAGTATTTGTAGTATATGCTTGTGAGGAAAGAGTTTTATAAACTAATAAGGTATTTTATGAATATAAACTTTGACTATATACATAAGAAACACTCCCATTATTACATTCCTTCCATTATCTATTTTTATTACCAAGTAGTAGTATGAGCCATAGCTACCTATTATATTACAGAGCAAATTCAGAGAGTTGTCTGGCTAATTTACCTTTCTGTGTGTGTAGGATGGGATCAATCAGATAAATATGTGAAAATCTACATCACCTTAAATGGTGTTCAGCAAGTCCCCCCTGAGAATGTACAGGTGCAGTTCAAAGAGAGGTGAGTATATGTAATTTGGAATACACCACTTTTTGTGGTTCATTTTGCTTTCTTAGTCATGGTAAATTTCCCATATGAAGCTTCCTGTAAGTCTATTTAAATTTTATGATCAATCTCCCCATTCTATGGCTTTGAAAAATCTGTGTCTTTATGTTTGAGAGGTGAGACTCACCAAATACTGCAGGGAGCAGCAGGGATTATAAGACCCTAAGAAAACCTAATTTCTCAGGCTTTTTGACCATTTTTCTTAACATCTTAGAGTCTCATAGAACCAAGAAGATAATGCATCTATCATTTTATTTACCTTATAGGTCATTTGAAGTTCTTGTAAAGAATCTTAATGGGAAAAACTACTCTATGACCGTCAACAACCTCTTGAAGCCCATCTGTGTAGAAGGTAGTTTAAGAAAGGTGAGTTTTCTAGTTTTTTCTTTTTTTTTTTTTTGGTAAGCATATTATATAATTAATTGTATTGTACATTGTACCATTTGATTAATTCAGACCCTGCTAAGTCTAAACTTTGAAAATTCAGGGATTGAGCTGAAGTTTGTTTTTTCACTCATCATGGGGGAATATGACTGGAAATAAGGAAAAGCTATTTGGAGCATTTAAAAAAACACAGGGTGGAACAGTGGTGGCATTTATGGCAAGGTATTGGTAGCACATGCCTATAATCCTGGTACTAAAGAGGATGAGTGAAGCTGGTAGATCCCTTGATTTGGGAATTCTTAGCTAAAACCAATGGGGTGTAAGCACTGTCTGGCATCGTATGGTGACTTCCTTGGAATGGGGAAGCCACCAGGCCACCTAGGAAGGGGGTAAATTGGCTCAGGCTGGAAATAGAGCTGGTCACAGCTTGTGTGACATCAGCAGTGGGTTCAGGCCCTAGAGTAGCCACTTGCACTTCCAGCCCAGTCTTAAAAGAATTGTATAGATAAAGATACTATTCTTATCCATTAAAGCCAGTCCTTTAAAAGTTTTTTTCCACTGGGAGGTTGATAAATACTAATAAAAATAGGAAACTGCCTTAAAAAAAATTCTGTAATCTGTATTTACCACTAATATAAACTAGCCTCCTTCCAAATTACTTCTAATTAGCATCATTTAGTGGAACAATTAATACTTGCCATTCTGTAATTCTTTATAGAGATAAAATTAAACAGCTGGCACAAGGTGATAGTTACTTCTGCAGACCCCAAATGTTTGCTGTTGGCATGTGATCCCATTGCTCAGTAGTGAGTTTTTTTCTTCCCTTCTGTGTTTTTTTTCCAGTAGCTGAAATTAAAAACAAAAATGATTTCTGGAGACAGCTATTGAGACTAATACTTTATTTTCAGAAAAGTTCAAAGCTTTAAATAAAGTTTAGTCATTAGCAAAGTGAGATTGGTGAGCAGCCAGTCAAATCAAAACTATTCTCAATAAGATATAAAAATAACAGGTGATTAGAAGTAGTGATGTCACCATTTGGAAATTCAACTGATAGAAAACAGTCCTCACAATGAGTAGACCAAAGTATAACTCCTTAGCTATAATAAGCAAACATTTGATCTCCTTGGAGAAACATGGCAACAAAGGTTTAAAATAATATTCTTGACAAAATGTTATAAAGGGAGCTGGTGCAAAATAATGAGCAATATCTTAGCACAAATCGGTGAAAAAAGGAGAAGCGGGACATTCATCTGTAGAAAGCTTTGGTGTGAGACTCAACTGAATTGTCATCCCAAGAGCAAATCTCTTTGAGACCAGGATACAGATCTGGTGACAGAACTGACCCATTTGGACTCAAAGTGCACACAAAAGAAATCTGTGGGCGGTGAAACACTTTTGAAAGTAATGAGGGATTATAGCTAGAGAACTGAAATGAAACGCTATGAAGCATACAAAAAAATATGTAAAGATCTATGGAAGATTTGTGAAGAATACATGGATAAGAAATATTAGGATGAGAATCACAGAATTTTCCCACTAGAGGGGGGAATCTTGAGGTCATCCAGTACAACCTCCACCTAATAACCAGGGAGTCCTTTGTATCTCCAACATGTGATAATCTAGGTAATATGTCACATGACAGGAAAACTGACTTGAGTTGGGGCAGCCCATTCCATTTCATTCCTGGACAGCTCTAGTAGGAATTTTTTTCTTTATATCAAGCCAAAATCTGCTTCTACCTAAATCTCCTATTTATGTCCTCTGACCACATGTAACAAACCTAAGCCCTTCTACATGACAGCTCTTCACTGTACTTACTGTGGTTCACTGTTGTGGTAAAATTTTATTAGTATTTAGGCTAAGAACCTCTGGGAAAATGAACTAGAATTAACTTTGTTGGTCATCTAGGCCAACACAGATGGAAAACTGAAGTTCTCCCCACCCCCCAATATAAAGTCCCCATCCAAGCAACAATAGTAGTTAAGTGGTAGAGTATAAATCTGGACCTTTTGACTCCAAATTGAACAGTATTTTCACTACAAACTCTTTATCTTTGAGTAGTTTTGTGGCATTTTATGTCTTCCAAAGCACATACATTGGTCTTAAAGCAACCCTATTAACATAGACGTTACAAGGTGTTACAGTCCACCTTGTTATGGAATTGTGTGGTATAGCAGAAAAATCACTAAACTTAAGATCAGAAGATACGAGATCTGGCACTGCTCATTGTGTACCTGCTGGCAAGCCTTAGAGGATTGTTCTAGGGGTCAGATGAGATAATGCATAAATTATTTATGATGAAGTGGAAAAGTTAATGAATAAATATTATATACATAAAGAATCTGTTATATCTTGTTTGTATTTTTTCCTGGCTCTTCTAGATTAAGACTGATACAGTTCTTGTACTGTGCAAAAAGAAGCAGGAACAGAAATGGGATTACCTGACCCAGGTGGAGAAAGAATGCAAAGAGAAGGAGTGAGTCTTCTTCCTTGCAACTTAGATAATTGTAGAAGATGATTGTGCTGTGTGCTGGGTTTTGGACTGCTGACACTTAAGTTTTTACAGAGTGGTTTTTTTTGGGGGAGGGGTAACCTGACTTGAAGGGTTATCAAGAATCAAGGTTATATTCTTAAAGTTTTGCTGCTTCTCTCTTGTCAAAGCAGATCCTGAGGAAAGCTGGGCTAGGAATTATCTTTTCACATTTTAAGTCCAGTGATCTTGATGGGTGGGTCAGTGGGTGTGTGTGGGGGTGTGGGCCTACAGTACTATCATGCTCTCTTGTCTTAAGGTGATGAATTGAACTAGCCTAGCCATTCCCCCTGTTCTTCAGGCCAGCCAGCTTCTGCTTCACAGAAACAGTAGGCCAGAGGGGAAGAGGCTTGAGGTACCTAACCTTGGCCTCCTGGAGCACTCTGTTTTAACTAGCTGGTCTAACTGGCCCAAATGTATGTAGGACATAGAAAAATATATATGCATATATATACATATATATATTTTTGATTCAATATTTGTTAATTGCAGGGAAGTTTTGTTGTAAAGCTTTATTCTGTTTTCCTTTTTTCGACAGAAAATCTTCCTTTGATAATGACACAGATCCTAGTGAGGGGCTGATGAATGTTTTGAAGAAAATTTATGAAGATGGAGATGATGAAATGAAGAGAACTATTAATAAAGCCTGGGTAGAGTCAAGGGAGAAACAAGCCAAAGGAGAGAGTGAATTTTGAGACAAAAAGTCCTTTCAGCCACCAATGTGGAAATATCCTTTCCAAAAAGGAACTGTTGCTGAGCTGCACAGATGAATTTGACAAGTATATTGTTTACACAGCCTTCTTCCAAGCAAAGACCGTGAACTCTTTCCATTTCATGCTGGAGGATTTATTTAAAATAAAATATGCTTATTTTAAAACACTTCTTTCAAGGAAGGTTGCCTTAGTGCCCTGGTTCTGTGTGCAAGAAAGGGTCATTGTTTCCTTACTTCAATGTCAAAAAAAGTCTTGCTAATTAAAAAGCTATATATTCCTTATCTCTGGTGCTCATCTGCACAATTAAAGGGGATGAACCTAATGTTCAAAGTAATCTTGTTTTCCCTTCAGGGTTGGCCTGGACATTTAGTCTTGAGTCCTTCAACTTGATATTTTAGGAGGAGCAGGTATAAAATTTGAGGTGTGAGCCTGTGTTAATAAGTTATGGTATAAGATGACCCTTGCTTCTTAAGGAATTGGGAGGGGGAATGTTTGGTTACTGTTACAATTGGTATAAAGAGCACTTGATTGAAGTTTAAAAGATTAACTTAACCTGGTGTTACCACAAGGCAAGTCTATTAATATTAGGGAATTATTTGAAAATATACTAAAAATTCAAACAAGTCACAACTAAGCAAATAAGCCTATAGTGGTAAGAACTAATCTCAAATTCCTCCTGAATATAACAGTTAATAACAATAATAAAATAAAGAAAAAATAACTAGCAATCTTTTGTCTTTTTTTTTGCATTCATCATTAACTGCTAGAGATCATCTACAGAAGAGGAATATAACATAGTAAAAGTTTTATCTAATTCCTTAGGAAAGTGTTTAAAAAATTACTTCTAAAAATTATTTCTTTAAGTTATAAATGGAAAGAATGAAAGTAATTCCCCTTGGGACAAAAAAATGCCAACCCCTAAAATAGCAGTAATAATCTAGGAAGCTTTATCCCAACCTCTGCTTGTTTAAACTTGACTAAAACTGGATAGGATTGGGGTAGTTCAGAAATGCTATTTAACTACAATTCATTCATTCAATACTTTCGACACAGCAATTCTTTGAGCTAGGTTAATAGAAGTGTGTGTTATATCCTCAATCTACACATGAGAAAACAACTAGTAACTCCCAAGTGGGGCCTTGAACTCCTGTCTACTATACTATACTACATCTGAATCAGCAGCAGCAGGATTGGGGGCTTGAAGACACCTTTCCTTTAACTGTTTGGTGGTGCTTTTAACAAATTTTACTGATTCCAAGTTTTTTAAAGTAACAAAAATCCATCTTTTTAATCAGTACTTTTCAGCTGGTGGTGTTTTTTCCGTGATTTGTAAAGCAGAATGAGTCAGCAAATGATAAAAGTTGGAGAGACTCTTAGTTGTGTGGACTTCTTATGGAGGATTTATGGAAGGACATGGATAAAAGTTACCCAGAATGAGAAGGCATGGATGGATTGCAATTTGTATTATTGAATAGAGTCCCTTCATAAATAATACAGCTATTGAAACAAAATATGAGTAGTCCCTTATTAAGGCCGGGCAATAAAAGCCACATCATAGAAAACCAAAACGTTTTAAGCATCAGATTTCACTGGTATAGCTACCCCACTGATCTATCCTAAAACCCTTCACTGATTTAGCAGAAGGTCACTGGAAATTGTTAGAGCCAAAAAATTCACCCTAGAGCTAAGTTAGGTGCCATTCCTTTGCAAAGTTAGGCTGGAGTTCTGACAAAGGTCACCCTGAAAAAACCCCATGCTCGAAGCTTCAATTACCATACTCCCTTAGCATCATTGCTTATCCATTCCAGTGATTCTGAACCCTGTTCAAAACTCATTTTCCCTGTGACTACTCCCTTATTCCCATCCTCCTCAACCCAAACCCTCCACAACCCACTGTTAAGCTACCCTCTCTTGTGGTCTCTGGAATGTACTTCATAGGTAACATTTGCTTTCATTGTAGACCTTTTCCTCTTTTGCTCTTCCTTCAGCATTCACTGGGACCTTGTTCTTGACAAAGCTTCCCTTGCCCCACTCGCTACCCCCCCACATCCTTCTCTTCCTCCCACCCCCCAACATTCACTGGTCATAGTGGGGAAGATGAAATACTCCTTACTCCCCATTGCCACTTGGAGGCTCTCCTACCACCATTACTCAGTAACATCTTTGAAATTCATTCAATCCATATTTATTACCCGATCAAAACTAGTTGGCTATAGCCTAGTGAACTCCAGGACACTAATTCCTTCCTCAATGAGTTTAGTACCTACTACATAGTCTTTTTCCTCCCCAACTCCTCTCATATCACAGGACTTAAGCATACTAATACTAAAACTAACCTCAATTCCTCAACTTACACATTTCCCTTGCCCTCTACCCTATATCAGCCACATACAGAAAATGGTCATACCCTTGATCTGACTATCACCTATGAGAATTCATGTTCATAAAATGTGAAATTCCCTTATCTGCATCCCCCAGTCCTCTTCTAAATTCTCACCGTGACCTAATCTAATCCCTTGAACCCTCAGGTCTTTCCCTGGCTATCACCCCTGACCAGGTTACTCTCTTCTTTTGATCACTTTGATCTCTGAGTGAACCAAGCAATCTCAACACTGTTCTCAGAAGTCTCTTGCCCCCTTATTCTACTCAAGACCTTGTCCTGCCAAGACTTAGGCAGCCATCTGCTGCCTTCCTACTCCTACCACAGAATGAAGAAAATCATACAACCATGCTAACTGGGTCCACTACAAGTTTATTTTATTTAATCTCAACCAGACCCTCACTGCTTTCACACCTCCCTAACATTCACTATCCCAATTACCACAGTGGCTTTTACAACTTTCATCCCTCAAAATACCCATGGGTCCTCCTACCTTCACCCTCTCAATTGAGAACTCTGCCTTATATTTCACTGAAAAAAAAAAATGGAGTCTATTTGAGACCTTCCTTTTCTCCCTACTTCTTATTTTATATCACTTAGAAGCCTTCTACCTCAATCTACCTCACCCATCTCCCAAGAAGAGGTGGCTCTTTTTTTTAAAATATTAATTTATTTTGATTTATCAACAATCACTTCTATATGCTTTTGAGTTTAAAATTTTTCTCCCCCTTAAGAGGTGGCTCTTCTTATCAAGGCAAATGTATACAAGTGATCCCATTCCAAACATCTCCAGCAGACTGCTCCCTGTTATTACTACTCTCACTTGCCCTCAATCATTCCTTGTCTACTGGCTGCTTCTCTATTGCCTACAAACATGGCCATGTCTCCTTCGTTCTCAAAAAACCCTCACCTGATCCATCTAGCCCCACTAGCTATCATCTCATACCATCTCCTTTTGTGGTTTAACTCCTTGAGAAGGATGTCTACGATGGGAACTTTTCCTTTCTACTCTCTGTAGTCTGGCTTCAGAAGGAAGATCACTTTGGTAGCTATGTGGAGGGTGGATTGTAGTGGGTAGAGACCTGAGGCAGGGAGACCAATCAGAAGGCTATTGCAATAGTCCATGAATGAGGTAATGAGGGCCATCATCGGAGGAAACAGCCCTTACCAAAGTCACCATTGACCTCTTACTAGCCAAATCTAATGGCCTTTTCTCAATCTTCCTCCTTCTTGACCTCTCTGCAGTCTTTGATGCTGTTGACTATGCTCTTGATCTCTCTACATCTTTGTGACACTGTTTTCTCCTGGTTCTTTCTACCTATTTGACCACCCTTTGACCAGCTAGTTGTCTGGGCCTGGAGTTCAAAGGCTGAAGTTAAGTCCAGGCTCAGACACTTAGAAGCTATATGACCCTGGGCAAATCACAGCCTGCTTACGGAAGGTTCTTCAACTGTAAAATGAAGATAACAATAGCACCTATCTACCAGGGCTGTCACTATCTCAGATATCATCTGTAAAGCACTTAGCACACTGCCTGGCACAGGGCACATTCTTAAAAAAAACCTCCCTCTCTACTTCCCCCTACCATCTCTCCTCTGCTGAATTGTCATCCCCATGAGTATCCCTTCAAGGCTCTTTTTTGTGCCACCTTTTCTTTTTCCTCCATGATATTTTGCTTAAGGATGTCATTAATTTCTATGGATTTAACTCTCTTCTCTATGTAGATGATTATCAGATCTATTTAGCTCTACCCTCTCCTGACCTCCAACTGCCTATAAGATCTCTGGATGTCTCATAGACCTTTTAAACTCAACAGGTTCAAAACTTAATTCCTTATCTTTCCCCACGAAATCCTCCCCTCTTCTTAACTTTCCTGTTACTGTGGAGGGCACCATCATCCTCGCAGTTACCCAGGTTTATAATCTGTTTTATCCCCAACTCTTCACTCTCACCCCCCGTTTCCAATCTGTTGCTAACGCCTGTCATTGCTACCTTTATAGCACTTCTCATATACACTCCCTTCTTTTTTCCAATAATGGCCTTTATTAACTCATGCATGGACTATTGCAATGGCCTTCTAATTGGTCTCCCTGCCTCAGGTCTCTGCCCACTACAGTCCGCCCTCCACATAGCCACCAAAGTGATCTTCCTAAAGTGAAGGTCTGACCACGTTACCTTATTCAATTAAACTCCATGGCTCCCTATTACCTCCAAGATCAAATACGCAATCTTCTGCTCGACTTCTCAAGTCCTTCATAATCTGGCCCCTTCCCATCTTTCCAGTCTTCTTTCACCTACTCTGTACCCTATAATCCAATGAGTGACATGGGCCTTCTTGCTGTTTCTTGAACAAGATACTCCATCTCCCAACTCCAGGCATTTTCACTAGTGGTCTTTCAAGTCTGGAATGCTCTCTCTGTGTCTCTCTGCTTATTTCCACCTTCTGGCTTCTATGACTCTTTAAGTCACAGCTAAAATCCCACCTTCAGCTTTTCCAGGTCCTCCTTAACCTTGGTGCCTTTCCTCTGAAAGTATTTCCAATTTATTCTGTATATATCTTGTTTGTACTTAAATTGTTTGCTGTGTTGTCTCCCACGTTGAACTGTGAGGTCCTTGGAAAAAAGGACTATTCCCTACCCCTCTTTTTGTATGCCCAGCATTAAGTCAATGCCTGGCACATAATAAAGTGCTTACTAAATGCTTGTTGACCTGACTTGACTCCAGCTTAACAGGGCCTACCAGAGCTTGTGTTCCATTAACAGAGCCTTCCAAAATTCGGGAGCCTTCCCCTCCACTTCAAGCAGCAGGGTTTTAGTCTACTTTTGCTTTAAACTAAGCAGAAATAAAGTAAAACACAAATTTCTTCACATCAAAATCTTTTTTTCTTTACTAATAGTAACAAGTTCAATTATAAGAAAGCAATTCAGTCACAGCCCATGTCCTCCGTAGATTTCTACAATACCAAGATTTTTTCTGCTAAAACATCAGCTTGAGAAAAGCAGTTATCCTATGGGGCCACTGCTTACTGCTTGTTTATTCGTGATGGCGGTCACATTCCTTAATGCCAAACGCTCAAGCATAGTGTCCACACCACTGTAATGAGTGCTGGAGTTGATTTACCATATTGCTCTCTGGACCCCAGAAAGTTGCCCATGATCGGCCAGATGCCGGAAAACAATCCGGCTGAGTCTCCAGCGTCTCTTCACTCCCCGGGGTCGAGATGTCATAACACAACGATTTCTTATCCTGACAGGACAGCTATCTCTGGGAAGAGCAGCAATTTCCTGATCTGCTACTTCCTAGGAAACAAAAGACAGTATTACTGCATAGTTCTCACTCATGGGTATCAGCAGTCTGTGTGAATTCTCCAGTGGAGAAGGTCAACAAGCTCTTTCCTAGGCCTTTTTAGGCACTTACTCTGATTCTCACAGGATCTCAGAATTGAAAGGGAGCTGGGATGCCGTCTAGTCCAGCCAGTAAGAACCCCCAACCCTGAGAAGTGGTCTTTCAGCCTCCACTTGAAGACCTCTTACGAGGACATGACTACTCATTGCACTTACGAATAGTTCTAATTACTCAGAAGTTTTCCTCACAATGAGTCAGCTTCTGAAACTCACTGGTTGGGACAGTCCTTAGCCTTCACAAGCTTGTTAATTAATCTGTAAAACGGGGGGCTTGAACTAGATAGTTTCTGAGGCTCCTTCTAACTCTACATCTGATTCTATACTCGGGAAACAAGCAAAACAAATTTAATTCTCTCTCCTGCGTGAGAGATCTTTAAACACTTGGAAGACAGACATCCTCCACCTCTCCTTTCCCTGTACCCCTCCCCCCAAGTCTTCTCAATTCAATAGCTCTGATGCCTTCAATGACTCTTACTCAGCGCGGTATCCAATTTCCTGACAATCTGGCACGCCTTCCTCTGGGCATGGTCCACCTGGTCAGTGAGGAGACTTCCGAAAAGTGTGCTGGGAACAGGACAGAGTAGAGTGGGACTACCATCTTCCTCGTTCAAGACGCCATAACTCTTCAATGCAGCCTAAGACAATACTGTTTTTGGCAGCGTATCACACCAGTGATTCACATGTGCTTGCAATCTACTAAAGCCCTCAGAGCTGATTTTTTTTTTCCACATAAACCTCAAGAAGGCTATCTACAATCAATGACTCCATTTCTTTTCCTCTTTTCTTAACTCTCCGGAGTCTGACTTCAGAAATCATTATTCAACTGAAAGAGTTCTTGCCAAAGTTACCAATGACCTCTCAATGAACTTTTCTCCATCTTCATCCTCCCTGACCTCTTTGCAGCCTTTCACGCTGTCCATCCATCACCCCTTTCCTGATATTCTCTAGATCTTTGTGACATTGCTCTCTCCTGTTTCTCCTCCTACCAGTCTGACCATTCCTCCCTCTCCTTTGCTGGATCTTCATTCAGCTCTCATTCACTAACCATGGGTAACCCCCAAGGCTCTGTTTTGTGCCCTTTTCTCCTTCTGTACTATTTTGCTTAATGATCGAATGAGTTCTCATGGGTTCAACTCTCATCTCTACAAAGATGATTCTCAATCTAGTTATCTAGTATACCTTTTTTCCTAACCTCCAACTGCCTACTGGACATCCCTGGATGTTTCTTTTATCTCTTACACTCAGTATGTTCAAAACTTAACTCATAAACTTCCCCCTTATCCCCCTCCTTCTTCTTAACTTTCCTATTACCATGGAGGGCACCATCATCCTCTCAGTCTCCCAGGCTTGTCACTTGGGTTTTATCCTCAGCTCTTCACTCTTTCTCACTCTCTGTATCCAATCTGTTGCTAACTCCTCTCGTTTCTACCTTTACAGCACCTCTCATATATACTTCCTTCTTTCCTCTGATGATGGCCCTCGTTACTTCGTGGATGGACTATTGCAATAGCCTTCTAATTGGTCACCCTGCCTCAGGTCTCTGCCCACTACAGTCCGCCCCCCACATAGCCACCAAAGTGATCTTCCTAAAGTGAAGGTCTGACCATGTTACTTTATTCAATAAACTACAGTGGCTTCCTATTACTTCCAAGATCAAATGTAAAATCTTCTGCTCAACTCTTAAAGCCCTTCATAATCTAGTCCCTTCCTACACAGTCTTCTTACACATTTTATGTACTCTATAATCCAATGAGCATCTCCATCTCCTAGTTTCCATGACTTTCTTTCAGTCATAGCTAAAATCCCACCTTTGGTAAGAAGCTTTTCCAGGTCCTCTTTAATCTTAGTCTCTTCACTCTGACAGTATCTCCAGTTTCTTCCGTATATAGCTTGTTTGTACATAGTTGTTTACATGTTGTCTCCCTCCTTAGATTGTGAGCTCCTCAGGGCATGGACTTTTTTTGCCTTTCTTTGTATCCCCAAGATTTAGTACAATGCCTGGCATCAATATACACTCAACAAATGTTTCTTGACTGACTGATAGGAATTACTGTTTATCCACATCTCTCATCATATTCTTTTGAAATTGATTTTGCCAACCCTACTGAAGAGTTTTGCATTTATCCCTACAGACAAAGTTAAGCATAATTAGGTTCACTTCTCTGTAGAATTAAAGCCAGAACTTAACCACAGAATAAGATTTACCTTGGGGTGGAAAGGAGTCAACCATTGGCAAGTTTTAAATTCAACAAACTTATTTCCCAAAGAGACATACTTGGGCTAGTAAAGACAGAAATGAGGTTGTAACACACACATATATGTATATTGTGTATGTATGTATGTATGTATGTATGTATAGAATGTCCTCTTCCTCTATCACATGAGTATATTAAGTGACAAAATGATAGAAAGAAATGGTCAGTGTCTTGCCTTACGCTTATTGGCATCTGCCCTTTTGATCTACAGGTCAGTCACATACTTTTCAAGGCTATTTCTGCGTTGGGGTGGGGAGGTTTCTGTCAGATGAACTGCAGTAAGAAGGGGCAACAAGCTCTAGTTTGCAAAAAGTTTAAGACACAGAGCCTGTCCTCAGGGAGCATATAACCTTTTTGAGGAGAAATAAAAGTTGTGTCAGCCCTTCAGAGAACAATAAAGCATAAACAAAAGGTCACAGGGGAGATGACTAAGCCACGGGAGAAGGATATGACTCACAGAGATGTGCCTTGAATGATGGGTAGGAATTGTCATGAGTGTTGCAGGGTTGACTTCACGTGATAGGTGAGTGGTCCTCAAGATATCCCAGGCCCTCTAATTCTCTGATTTTTTTAAAATCACCACAAAAATATCTTTCACAGTGCCTTTCGCATAGTATGTGGTTTATAAATATGTGTTGGATAAAATGTCACAATGATTAAGATCATATAATATGATGTATGAAAGGGCAGTTAAGGGTGAGTGGCATTCTTGAACCTTGGCCTTTTGAGGACAGTTTCAAGAGAATTAGTTCGTACAATTCCTTAGATTTAAATCTTAAATAAACTAACTTGGAGATCTTTTGGCAATATAGTGTTCTTTCTGAGGGAGTTGATCCGAAGCCTTTCATCTGCAAATTCAAAGGCCATCTTTCTCCTCTTTACATCACGCAGCATTCTCCAGTCCACATAGTAACTTCGTATCTGTCCTGTACCTGAAAAAGGAACCATCTAATGATGGTCAAAGAAAAAGACAAAAAGACAGTAAAACTGATGCTTTGTTCTTTGTCTTCATAATCTCCCACTCCTTTTATAGCTTTTGTGCAATGTGACTTAATGTTTCTAATGCAATATTTACTAAGTGTTTGCTCTGAAGAAGGCCCGTACTTGGTGCTGAGAGTAAAGAGAAAAATCAAAACAGTTTCTCCCCTCCAGAGGCTTACATTCTACCAAGGGAATGTGACATGCCCTCAAATAGATTTGTAATCTCTTCAGTCTGGGAGTTCCTCCACTGATGGACATGGCAATTCATTCATTCATTCCTCCCTCATCCTATGTGACTTTTGTCGATGTTCTTCCAAAAGTTCCCCACAAGTCCACCCAACATGCTGGAAGCCTTATGAGCATGGAGTACTCTAGTTGACCACCTGTCTGTCATCCTTTGCTCTTACCATGTGAGCAATCCTTGTTCTCTTCCTGTCACATAATTCCTTGAAGTCATTAATTCAATAAATATTTTTAAGCAGTTGTTATATGACAAGCACAGTGCTAGGTACTGAGGAGACAAAGAAAACAACAACAAATCCTGGCCTTCAAGGAACTTACTTCCCACTGAACAAAAACAACATACACACAGGCAAGTAAATACAAGGTAACTGAGGAGGAAAGAATATTATAACTGAGGCGATCAGCAAAGGTTCTGAATAAGGATTTGTAGCCAAGATGAGTCTTAAGGAAAGCTAGGAATTTTAGATTTTAAGAGCTATTGATACGGAGGGAATATGCTCCAGAACTGGAGGTACTGAGATAGGAGAATGTTGACTTTGGAGAAATATCAAGCAAGAGTTTGGCAAGAACACAAAATATGTGAAGCGAAGTCATATGAAGTGACTGAAAAGGTAAGTGACAGCCAGATAACAAAGAGCTCTAAAGGCAGGGTTGAGGAGTCCACCTTATCTTAGAAGCAAAAGGGATCAACTGAACATTTTTGAACAGGGGAGTTATATAGTCAGTCTTGAGTGCTAATTTGACAGCTGTGTAGAAGATAGAATGGAAAAGGGGGATACTGAAATAGGAAATCAATTAGGAAAACTATTGAAATAGTCAGGGGAGAGGAGTTGAGGAGCTGGAGGAGGACAGCTACTGTGAGAAGTAAAAGGGATGGAGTTGAGAGATGTTGTGCAGGTAAAATCAAGGAGACTTGGCAGCTAACAGGACACAGGAGCAAGGGAGACAGAGAACAGTCATGGATGACTCAGGTTCTGAATCCTACACACTTGCTACGCAAGGCTTTCTGGATCCCCATGAGTGCTCCTCCCCAAACTACTTTACATATAATATAGATATTTTAAAATATTTACTTAACCATGTATATGTTTTTCTCCAATAGGAAGTATGCTCCTTGAAGGCAGGGGCTTGTTTTTTGTCTTTATATCTCCAGTGCCTAGCACTGTATCTATCATATAGTAGACACTTAATAAATGCTTACTGAGGGGTAGCAAGGTGGCCCAGTGGATAGAGCACTGGCCCTGAAGTCAGGAGGACCTGAGTTCAAATCAGGTCTCAAACCAAACACTTAACACTTACTAGCTGTGTGACCCTGGGCAAGTCACTTAACCCCAACTGCCTAAAAAATGAAAAAAAAATGCTTATTGAGTAAACAATTTTCAGTGTCAGGAAAGATTTGCAGGAAAGGTGGGTTTAGCAGGGAATAATAATACCTAGCATATTACATACACATACATACCAGGTTCATGCCCAGCCTCAGACACACCCATTTAACCGCTCCTAGCCTCAGTTTCCTACCCTGCAAAATGGGGGTAACCACAGCCCCCTCCTCCCAGGGTTGCAGTGAGGTGGAAATGAGGTGATATTTGTAAATTACTCGGTAGCCCTTCAAGGGCCCTATAAAGGCCAGAGCCCAAGGCTGCCTGTCGGGGCACACAGGGAACAACAGTCAGAGGGCCTGGATTCAAATGTCCGCACTGAGCTTAGTCCCCTAAAGTCCTCACTTCCGGACACGGGGCAGCGACGTCGAACCGGAGTCAAGAAGACCTGAGTTCAAACACAACCTACAAGCGGGGTGATCCTGGGTGCGTCGTCTAGCCGCCCCAGCCTCAGTTTCCTCATCTGTAAAAAGGAGTCTTAATAATGTCACCTACCTCCCCGGGCTGCTGTGAGGATCAAAAGACGCGCTTTCAAACCTTAAAAGCACCATCTAAATGCTAGTTGTTATTATTATTATCGTCAATATCAGCATTGTTATCTAGGGCCTCAGCTTCCTCATTTGCCCAGTGACCTCGGAGGCGCTTCTGGCTCTCCGTCTACACTCGCTGCGGTCATTCCTCTGCCCCTCTGGAGGGAAGCTCTCCGGGCCGGCAAGTTTCAGGGTTTGGGGGGCTATCGGGGGACAAAGGCTGAGGCAGGGGTAGCCGACTACGCACACTGACCTGACGTACAGAGCGCAGCAGAGAAGACAGCATGGAGGCCGCCATGTTGCCGGATGCGAGATTCAAAGGTGCGCAACTTTATTGACACTGAGGGAAAAGGGGCAGACATCGGGAGGCGGGGCCTCATGCCGGGAGAGGGGGCGGGGAAGGTGAGAAGGAAAGTCCCAGTGAGCGTGCGCCAGGAGGATGCGCAGTGAGGATACTCGACTGCGGATCGCCTCCCCCGTGACGTCACTGCGCTTGCTCAGACTTCCTAGCCCTCTGTGTCTGCGTCCACTTAGACCCTAAGTATTTAAAAAGACAAGAGTACAGGGGCGAAAATAGATGACATTTAAAAAAAATCAAGGCACCCTCCCTTCTCTTAATCAGTCTGTCCACAAACATTTATAGAAGCATGTACTATGTGCCAGGCACTGTGTTAAGCGCTGGGGATTAGGAGAAAGGCAAAAACCTGGTCCCTGCCCTCAAGGAGCTTTCTTTCTAATGGGAGAGACCGAGTGTAAATAACTAAATTTACAGGGGCAGTCCGAAGGTTTAGGGTGTGACCCTGGAGACCAATCATTGAAACGCCCCCAGCCTCAGTTTCCTCATCTGACAAATGAAGATAATAATAGTACCCACCTTCCAGGGTAAGGACAAAATGATTCGTAAACTACTTGTAAAGCTCTTTGCAAACCTTAAAACTTTAAAATCCTAATTATTAGTGAGTAGAGCCGTGAACCTGGAGTCAGGGAGATCCGAGTTCAAATGCAGCCTCACTTATTAACTGAATGATCCTGGGCAAGTCTGATCACTCATCTGTAAAACGGAGACAATAGGAACAAATAAGATATTATTTGTAAGTACTATATAAATGCTAGCCATCATCATCCTCATTATCACTGAGTAAATTGAAGGTAATGTGATACCTAAAGCTTTCTTCCCGTGGGTTTTCTTCTTTCCAAAACACTAGTTTAATTACATTCGATCTACTCTGCATAAATCTTGTATGCACCTAGTTATTTGCTATTATTATTGTTAATTATATTAATTATTAATGTAAGTATTATTACTCCTAGTTATCTCCATTAGCGTGTGAGCTCCCCGAGGACAGAGACTGTTTTCGCCTTTCTTTGCATCCCGAGTACTTACTTAGCACAGTGCTTGGCATACAGTAAGTGCCTGCTAAGTGCTTCTTTGCCTGCCTGCCTGAAGTATCTATTGAGTACCCACTGTATGCCCAACCCTGTGGGGGGAAGTATGACAGATACAATAGAAGCAGAAGCTCTCACCCCTGCTTTCTGGAGTAGTTGGTAACTGGTGATGATAGATAGCATGGACCAATAGAAAAGCAATATAGGCCAGCATATTCATCTGATTCTTTGGGCTGCTAATATGATCATTATAAGAAACGGTCATGACCCATGAGACAGAGTATAAAAAGTCCAATTAGAAGTGGACAAGGAAGAGGAGCAAAGGAGAATCTTGAAATTTCAATTCAACAAACAAGAAAACATTTATTAAGGAAGTGCCTACAGATAGGCTGGGATACTGCGGAAGAGCTGGGAATACAAAAAAAATATTTCCTGTTCAGACGGACCTTACATTCTATTTTCCTCATCAGAGGTCCTCAGAGGATGTTTTGGGACTTAAAAACTATAGGGATGTGAAGAAACAGTCCTCAAGTTTTATGTTTAAGGATTTCTAGGTATAGTACTTTATTTTAAAGTATCTAGAGACTGGTTTTCCCTTAGTTCAGAGTCCTCTGATACTTTTAAAATTACCTGTTTTCTTCTTCAGTGTAGGAGATGATGAGCCTATGGTTGTGTCCTCAGAGCCTTAAATTTGGAACTGGGGGCCTTTCAAATCCCTGTACAGCTCCTTACTACTTACATGACTTCGGATAAGTAACAATCTCTCTGAACCTCAGTATCCTCATCTTTAAAATAAATGAATTGGACTAGATAACCTCTAAAGGGTCTTCCAGCCATAAATCTTTGATGCTGTCATCTTCTTCAGAGGCGTTATCCTCATTTCTTGGGGACCAATGTAGAGTCTTGGCCGGAAAGTCAAGAGACTTCCCATCTACCAGTAAGTTAGTCATTTCCCCCTTCCCTCTTCTCCCTGTCCCTTCTCATCTTCAATTCTGTGTTAACTGCTCTTCTTGGATGAATTAATCTCTACCCCTTTGTTCCCTCACTCCTCAGGTGGATAGATAGCATTTTCTAAATACCTTTTAATTTTGGAGAAGATAATCCAATAATTAGTTAAAGTTCTTTTTATTGCTTTAAAAACGGGAAGCGTTCAGTTTTGCCAGACAGTTTTATATTAGCACAACCTGAAGGTCTGGTGGTGAGAATAGTCCAGATGGCAGGGCTTGACCTTACCATATGACATCTATATCCATCAAAGCTGACATACCCTCATGTGCCTGGCTTTACCACTCTTTCCTAGTCAGCTCTTCCCTGCTGACCAGCAGCTGTTCCCCAAGAGAGGACACAATGTCCCTGTCTTTTCTCTCCCACATGAGAGATGGATGTGGTTTGGCCAAAAGTGAGAGATTTCTGGGAAAGAGGAAGGGCCTTTGGGTGGTCCATGTGTGTTCAGTGCACATTATTTGTATGTGGGGCCAGAATGGTGGTGATAGTGACTGTGAAGAGAAAACTGCACAGAAGCGGAAGAAGGGTGGGGAAAGGAAAAGAAAGCTAGGGAAGATGGAAATTACGTCTAGTGGCAAGCACATTGGGGGAGGAGGGAAGACTTTTTCCTTTGATCCCACAGTTGGAATTGGGAGGAATGTAAAGGTTGCATTTTATTTTGTCCCTCAAATTAAAAGTCACTTAAGTAGAAAATCCTGTACCATGAGAAAATTGTATACCCATTACAATATTACCAGGTTGAGCATTTAGTTTCTTCTACTCAGATTCTGAGATGGTGTGTCATATGTAGAGGATGAGTGAAACACCTGTCTTTTTTTATACATCTGGACCCATTAAACATCAGTACCAGATCTGATTGACTTAGTAACTTGGCAGTGAAGTGTGGGAAACATTACCTCCTTACAGCAGCTAGGTGCTGCTGCAGGAACTGAACTGTATTGTGTGGCATACCAATTAGGCGTCAGTCTTTTGCTGTAGACACAAGTTTTATGGCTTGCACACTAGGTGGCGCAGGTGCTTCATCTGAGCTGAGTGCCCCCAAAATCAGTTCTACTCAGCCTGTCAAAGCTCTGCGTAATGTAGGCTGAGTGAAATAAAAGGGAGGAAAGTGGCTTTTTAAAGTATTGTCCCTTATATACGAAGCTGATACTTCCAACTCACCATCAGAAGGGAATGTGTTTATAGCAGTCTTTGTCCATTAGTTGTGATCTTTTTGCATAGATTCACCCATATATTTGTGAGACTGCTGACCCTCGGGTTAGGGACATAGAATGAAGGAACCCATTACCTTGACTAGGTCCTGACCAACTGGATAGCAAGTCAAGAAAGTCAGGAAGGGTCAGCACAAAGTACCAGCTAGCTCTTTAAATTGTTCCTAAGCTTTTCTCTCAGGTCAGGTCTCTGCGTGCCTGACTTATGATCAACCCATTGAACAACCAACAATCAATTGGTTGACTCACCAGTTGAACAACCAACAAGCATTTATGTGTCTATTATGTTCTAGGTTCTTTGCAAATGCAAAGAAGAGAATAAACCCTGCTCTCAAAGAACTTATATCTTAGTAAAGGTCTACCCTTCCCCCTTAATTTAAGGATAAAGAAACTGAGGCCTTAGAGAGGTTAAGTGACTTGCCCAAGGTCCCACAGAAAACACGTAGCAGAACTGGCATCAAGACCCAGGTTCACCTGTCTCTGGGTCTTAGAAGAAAAAACGAATATGTTCTTTCATCATTTCTAGGATGAACCTTTCTTATAATGAATATATCCTTCAAAGAGTAACTGGCCTTGAGTCAGAAGACCTAAATTCTAATCTTGGCATAGCCGCTTATTAGCTTTGTGACCCTGGAGAAATCCCTTTAACCCACTCTGAGCCACAGTTTCCTTATTTGTAAATTAGAAACAATAACACCTTCATTGTCAGAGGACATGAGGATCAGATGAATTCATGTGTGCAAAGCACTCGGGAGCTTCAAAGCATTGTGTCAATACAGTAACTGCTATGAATTGTTACATTGTAAATCATTGAAGAACAGGCAGTGAGTCTCTTTATATCTCCAGTACTTTTATATCACAGTACCTTGAAAACACCAGGTATTTAAATAAGTGTTTTTAGGGGATGGTGATGGTAGCCAGAATACTTATTTTCAATTTACCTCGTTTAGTACAAGTGACATTGATTCACTCTGCTTTTCTGTTAAATGAAATGCTTTTACCTACGGACTGTGGAAAGAGAATGACTCTTTGGTTTGACTCCAAATCCTGTGCTGGAAAGAGGGATAATCCTCAGCTGTTTGGGGCCAATCCTATTGAATTTCTTTCCCTACTCTCCTTTAGCTTCCTTTGTTACAGTTATCTTAATTTTTATTGTGAATATCTTCTCTTCATATGCATACACACGTGTGCATTTGAATACCATCTTGTAACACCTCAGAATGAACTGTATATTTTGTTCTGGGGTTTGGGATTGGTTTAATTTTCCCTCAGGGTACACTTTGCCAGCTCACTTGTGGCCTAGACTGAAACATGTTTCAAATTGACTCTAGTGGTGAGGATACACCTTTCTTTTACAAGCCCTTGACTGGTTTTCATTTGAACAAAACAAAACATTTCGTTTGTAGCCCAACTTCTCCTCATTGTGAGTTCCACACAGCTACACCCAAGTTCAATGTACTCAATCTACTTTTTCAGTTGGCATCTAACTAAAACCATATTATCATGAGCACCGTTGCATTCCTTTTCTCAAAAATCAAATCAAATCAAAACAAATACAAAACAAAACAAACAGCTAAACTTTATTATACCTTAACTTAAAGCAAAGGTGTTTAGTTAAACATAGTAGTAATATAAATAAGCAGGAAAAATTCTCATAAACATAGAGGCACACTTTCCCACAGATATCTGTACCATCACTGGGAGAAAAAACATAGTGTGCTTCACTTATACTCCAAAGA